ATGTATAGGGGGAGGGGGGGCCGAGAGGCTGCTTTTGTCTGCTGTTCGGCAGCCTGTTGCTCAGGGGAGGGGGCAGCCTGTTGCTGGCCGGGGGGTCAGGGGGGGCAGCGGGCGTGGGAAGGCACTTTTCCTCTGCCCGGCAGCTCTGCGGGACCCCAGTCGGAGCCGGCCCGAGGAGGAGGAGGATCCTAGGACCCAGGTGAGCGAGCCCCGGGAATGCTGCTGCGCATGTGCGGGAGTTGCCTCACCCCGTTCGTATCTAGGGATCCAACGTAAGTCGGATCCACGTAAGTCGGGGACTGCCTGTATTCAGTACCCCATAAATGCAGCATTATCTGCTGAAATCATTTGCACTAGTCATCATAAAATCCTATAACTGGAAGGGACCTGAAAAGGTCATCGAATCCAGTCCCTTGCCCTCACAGCAGGACCAAGCACAGTCTAGATCATCTCTGATAGAGGTCTACCCAAACTGTTCTTAAATATCTCCAGTGATGGAGATTCTACAACCTCCCTAGGCAATTTATTCCAGTGTTTAACCACACTGACTATTAGGAACTTTTTCCTAATGTCCAGTCTAAATTTCCCTTGCTGCAATTTAAGCCCATTGCTTCTTGTCAGAGGCCAATGAGAACAATTTTTCTCCCTCCTCCTTGTAACACCCTTTTAGATACTTGTAAACTGGTATCATGTCCCCCCTTATTCTCCTCTTTTCTAAACTAAAGAAGCCCAGTTCTTTCAGTCTCCCTCACAGCTCATGTTCTCTAAGCCTTTAATCATTTTTTTGCTCTTCTCTGGATCCTCTCCAATTTCTCCATATAATTCTTGAAATGTGCCCAAATTGGGACACAATACTCCAACTGAGGCCTACTCAGTGCAGAATAGAGCGGAAGAATGATTTCTTGTGTTTTGCTCACAACACTCCTGATAATGCATCCCAAAGTCATGTTTGCTTTTCTTGCAACAGCGTCACACTGTTGACTCATGTTTAGCTTGTGGTCCACTATGACCCCTAGATCTTTCTACAGTTCTCCTTCCTAGACAGTCACTTCCCATTCTGTGTGTGAAACTGATTGTTCTTTGCTAAGTGGAACACTTTGCATTTGTCCTTATTAAACTTCATCCTGTTTACCTCAGACCAGTTTGCCCAGATCATTTTGAATTATGACCCTATCCTACAAAGCACTTGCAACCTCTCCCAGCTTGTTATCATCCGCAAACTTAATAAGCGTAGTCTCTCTGCCATCATCAAAATCGTTGATGAAGATAATGAACAGAACCAGTCCCAAAACAGACCCCTGCAGAACCCCACTTGTTATGCCCTTCCAGCATGATTGTGAACTGTTAATAACTACTCTGAGAACAGTTATCCAGCCAGTTATGCACCCATCTTATATTAGCCCCGTCTAGGTTATATTTTTGTAGTTAATTGAGAAGAAGGTCAAGCAAGACTGTGTCAAATGCCTTACTAAAGTGTAGATATACCATGTCTACTGCTTCTCTCTTATCTACAAGGCTTGATATCCTATGAAAGAGCTATCAGATTGGTTTGACATAATTTGTTCTTTTCAAATCGATGCTAGCTGTTACATATCACCTTATCTTCCAGATGTTTGCAAATGGATTCCTTAATTACTTACTCCATTATCTTCCCTGGCACAGAAGTTAAACTGACTGGTCTATAGTTTCCTGGGTTGTTCTTATTTCCCTTTTTATAGATGGGCACTATATTTGCTCTTTTCCAGTCTTCTGGAATCTCTCTCAACTTTCATGATGTTTCAAAGATGATAGCTAAAGGCTCAGATACCGCCTCTATCAGGATATTACCTAATAGTGTCAGTACATCCCTTTCAGAGGTCCTCCCATGGATTTCCTCACAAAAGAGCAACATTTTGGCCTACTTCTTTAGTTACCAAGTTGTATAGCAAGTGGAAGCTCTAAATACAGTAAAGAATGTGTGCTTACCTGACCATAGGAAAGGCCAGTGTTCTGAGAAATAGTATTCTGTAAACAAACCATGCACCAGTTATTTCTTTGTAAAATGACATTGCAATAGAATATCTTTTTTTGAAAGGGAAACCTATACAGAGTTCTATTTGGTGAAGCGGAGGACAGGGGAAGATATAAATATTAATGTACAAATATTCAGTTACATCTGAAGAAATTCAGAGTAATTCCTCTGACTTCAGTCAAACTACTCTGGATTTACTCCTAGGTTACTGAGATCATATCCTTCCAACATTCAATTACATTACATCATGTGTAAGTTTTATGGATGGTGTTCTTTTGAAATGAAAGTCTACATTCATCTGTTTAGGTCATGATCCAGCACAGAGTGTAAATACATGCCAAACTTTAAGCCTGGAGTGGAAATAGTCCCATTATAAACAATGCATTACTAAATCAGGGCTTTAGTTCTCAGTAGGCATCAGAGAAAGTGCCATCTTTCTGATGAAAATATTCTGCTTGTTTCAATGGTATTCAAAATAAAAACAGAAAATGTCATTTCAATATAATTATAAGAAAAGTGGAAAAAAGGGAAGTTGATAGTACGCAAGTGCTCTAGATTAATACAAACATAAAAAAGCATTGCTAAAAGAATCAACTCATATTATGGGACTGGTTATTGAGCCATGCAAAGGGAACTCTACCAAGAAAAGAAGGAATCAATGGTGCAGGGTGTGTGACATTCTGCACAATTTGGGATGGATGACAATATTTAAAAGAAGAATCCTAAAAACAGACGGAATGTGATTAGGAATAATACAAAGAGCATCATCTCAGATGAAGGTAGGGAATAGTTATGAAGACTATGGAAAAGGTATAGAAACTAAAAACTATGGTTGCCTTTCTTATTTAGAAATATGTTTTTTGACCAGTGTTCCCTCTAAGGCACATGGCATCACAGGTGATTAATCAGCCTCACCCAGGCCGAGGCTCAGGGCTCGGTGAGAACACTGGTGTTGACATACCAGACCACTAACGAATCAGGAGGTTACACAGTGACTATTGACAATTAGAATATCCTTCTAAGTCAGTAACCATACCACATCTTTGTGCTTGCTTAGCTGAGATAATTTTGTTTCAGAATAATGCTAACTAACCTCACACATCCTCTAGCTCCTGCCTCATCTTCATCCAAAGTAATATAATTCTGCGGCACAACAACTATAATGGATCTAATACAACTTGCAATAAAGTGTTGAGATATTGAGTAGCATTTTGTAAGAAACATCAAATACAGAGGCAAATGACTACTTACATCTTTACAGCCATATTTGCTGTATACTCCATCCCTGCCCTGCAGAGGAAACAGAAAACAGTTATTTTGTTATTATTGTAATCACTAGGCACAAGTACAAAGAACCTCAACTCTGACTGATCCTCATGTCTGGGAAATGCAAGAGAGTATGTTCTCTCCCTCCCCCCCTCCTAGTTCTGCACTGTACCTCCACAAGAGGGCTAGGCACATTCTGGTCCTAAATAAACTAACATGCTGGTATTAACATAAAGGTTTCTGACAGATTTTATTTAATAGAAAAATAATTTAAATTAGATTTTAAAAAAGCTCCCACATTATATCTGCAGCTTGCCACTGTCTCCTGGTGTGGTCTTTCAAGGGCTCTCTTCTTCTCCTAACTGACTACTCTTAGCTTGCTCTCAGTCAGGTCAGCTCTTGGACCTGCACCTTTAATTAAGTTTAGCAGTCTGTTTCACTCTCTTGGCTGTGTTCATGGAGGCAGCCTCATGTAGATTGCTTCTTTGGTGTCCCAGGGTTTTCTGCCTTCTCTGTCTTGTCTGTACTCTCCCCTTTATAGCAGTTATAGTTTCCTCTATTGATTGCAGTGTGTGCACCTTCCTCTATAACTGCTTGCTTGTCAACAGGAAAGACTCTCTTCCCCGTTCTGATTATATTCTGTATGGGGTTTGTTGAGGCTCATTACACAGTCAAATATTGTAGTATTTTGTTGGTTCATGTAACTCCAATAGCTCACTCTGACTAGAAATATAAGTGAACAAAACACAAAATGTCTAGAACCATCATGAATGGTGAAAAATAGTGCATATTTTAAAGTCTTTTAATATTAACAAACTTATACACAAGCAAGGCTGTTTTTTTTAAAGAAAAGGGAAATACTGATTACTAAATTTTATTTTGTCTTCGATGTATCCAAATTTCATACACAAATGTATTTTATTTACTCCAGCCTCTCATAATAGGAATGTTTCAGATGTTCTCCTGTGAGATGCTCTGAAAAGACTGCAGCGGGAATTAAGTGTGTGCCTTATCGGATAATTGCATTTACCTACGATTTTTAACCTGACAGTGTCCCTTTGATACAAAAAGGAATATAAAAAGGAAGTAGCCATATTTATTGTAGAGTTACTGCTGCTGAATTCTGTGGTCTGTTGCAAATCAGAATACAGCAACTGGCACAGTTTATGGAAGTTGTAAGTCTGTGAACTGTACGGCATCCTTGCTCTCTGATTAGTTGAGTCATATTACTTGAGAACATTGTCAAATCATCTCTTAGCTTTTCTATATTACTTCTGCTGTAAAACAAGAGCTCCCACGTTAACACTAATGTAACTGATAACTAAGCATTGTATAGCCCCATTGTACAGCATACTGAGCCCTGTGACTGCAGGGCTGCGCTCCTGGCCCCCTGATTGCAGGGCTCTGCAGCTGCCCTGCCTTTTCTCCCCCACCCCTGCTTCTCTCCCTTCCTCCCTTCCTAAGCGTGCCACAAATGAGCTACTGAGCACTCTGGAAGCTTTGGGAAGGTGAGGGAGAAGTTGCTGAGCTTGGAGCCTCGCTTTTCCCTATGAATGCTCCAGCCCTGAAGTGCCTATGGGGATGCCAAGACACAGATGTTGCCGGATGACATAAGTCTGAACTATAGAGGTTCAATCTATAGTTAAAATAGTCACACCGGGACAAAATTAATTGAAGATGGAAAAATTGCTTACTGGGGCACATCCACTTGTTTTACCTCCTGCATAAATGACTCCAACCTGAAAGACAGAAAGACAGACAGAAAGAAAATGTCAGTTATTTCTATCCTTTATAAAACATGGGAAAAGAAACCTACAATTTTCAGCACCATATATGTTGTCTCCATCCAGCCATATGTGGAGACTGGGAATACATACATGCAGATGTAATCATAGAGTTTGAGTCAGTAACTGTGAAACCCCATATGATGAGATTATAGAATCATACAATACTAGGACTGGAAGGGACCGTGAGAGGTCATCGAGTCCAGTCCCCTGCCCTAATGGTAGGACTCAGTACTGTCTAGACTATCCCTGATAGACATTTATCTAACCTACTCTTAAATATCTCCCGAGATGGAGATTCCACAACCTCTCTGGGCAATTTATTCCAGTGTTTAATCACCCTAACAGGAACTTTTTCCTAATGTCCAACTTAAACTTCCCTTGCTGCAGTTTAAGCCCATTGCTTCTTGTTCTATCCTCAGAGGCCAGGAATAACAAGTTTTCTCTCTCCTCCTTGTGACACCCTTTTAGATACCTGAAAACCGCTATCATGTCCCCTCTCAATCTTCTCTTTTCCAAACTAAACAAGCCCATTTCTTTCAGTCTTCCTAAATAAGTCATGTTCTCTAGACCTTTAATCATTCTTGTTGCTCTTCTCTGAACCTTCTCCAATTTCTCCATATAATTCTTGAAATGTGCCCAAATTGGGACACAATACTCCAGCTGAGGCCTACTCAGCACAGAGTAGAGCGGAAGAATGACTTCTTGTGTCTTGCTCACAACACACCTGTTAATGCATCCTAGAATCATGTTGGCTTTTTTTGCAACAGCATCACACTGTTGACTCATACTTAGTTTGTGGTCCACAATAACCCCTAGATCCTTTTCTGCCGTACTCCTTCCTAGATAAACACTTCCCATTCTGTATGTGTGAAACTGATTGTTCCTTCCTAAGTGGAGCACTTTGCATTTGTCCTTATTAAACTTCATCCTGTTTACCTCAGACCATTACTCCAATTTGTCCAGATCATTTTGAATTATGACTCTGTCCTCCAAAGCAGTTGCAACCCCTCCAAGCTTGGTATCATTTGAAAACTGAATAAGCGTATTCTCTTTGATGATATCTAGATCGTTGATGAAGATATTGAACAGAACTGGTCCCAAAACAGACCCTACCGAACCCCACTTGTTACTTCTTTCCAGCAGGATTGTGAACCATTAATAACTACTCTCTGGGAATGGTTATCCAGCCAGTTATGCACCCACCTTATAGTAGCCCCATTTAAGTTGTATTTGCCTAGTTTATTGATAAGACTATCATGCAAGACCATATCAAATGCCTTACTAAAGTCTAGGTATACCAGGTCTACTGCTTCTCCCTTAACCACAAGACTTGTTATCCTATCAAAGAAAGCTATCAGATTGGTTTAACATGATTTGTTCTTTACAAATCCATGCTGGCTGGTAACCTTATTATCTTCCAAGTGTTTGCAGATGAATTCCTTAATTACTTGCTCCATTATCTTTCCTGGCACAGAAGTTAAACTGACTGGTCTGTAGTTTCCGGGGTTGTTTTTATTTCCCTTTTTATAGATAGGCACTATATTGGCCTTTTCCCAATCTTCTGGAATCTCTCCTGTCTTCCATGATTTTCCAAAGATGATAGCTAATCCAAAAATGAGATTGACTGGAACAATTCAATTTCAGTAGGATAAACTCAGACATCTTCTCAATAGCCAGACAACCTTACCCTTTGGCATATAGCTCTTCATCAATCGCCTCACAATGGAAGTAGAGAACTAATTCTACCTGAGAATTATTAAAAATTGCATTGAGGTGAAACCCTCTACAAACTAGAATAAAAGGGCTAAATTGCGTGTTGTCCTGTAAGGAAATAAATATTTAAGAAACTAGAAATAATTGATTTCCTTGTAACAAGGCTTGCAACTAAGCTATTGATTTAGGACCAGAGAATTACCTTTGTTTACTTCTCTAGTGATGTAAAAGACAAGAACAGGTTCCACTTTCCATTATGTCTCCATCCATTCTCCTGCCCTTCACCTCAGGATAATTTCCCTCCTTCAATTTGAGATTTTAGAAGATAGGGGCAGAAGCAGCCAAAAGCAGCACTTGCGGAGAGGCCCTTGCAGTAAGCGGAATGCTGATCAACTATGTAAATAAATAAACCAACTAAAATACTTTTGAGAAATAGCTCATACAACTATTGCAATCCAGTGAGGAACCTTGTATCCCCTGTAAAGATAACAGTAATTTCTTTGTGGAAGGACTTGTTAGAATACCACACCATTTTAGAAAAATAATCTTCCTGCAATTTCCTGTGTTGTAAGGTGAAGGGTAAGAGAAGTTTCATATTCTGTTTTGTCTGCTTTTAATCTATTGTTCCATACTAGAAGGGCTTAATATATAGGCAGTCCCTGACTTACGCGGATCCGACTTATGTCAGAGCCGCACTTACGAACGGGGCTTTCTCGCCCCGGAGCTCACAGGCAGCGATCAGCCACCTCGAGCTACGGGGCGAGAAAAGCTGCTCCCGGTGCCCCGGTCTGCTGGGGACCGTCTCCAGCAGACCAGGGGCATCGGGAGCAAACCCGCAGCGGCGGCGGGGTCCCGCACTTCTGAGGCTTTGCTCTGGTGGCTGCGGATTTGTT